TCAAAAGAGCAACAGAGAATCTCAGTTCATGACATCTGCATGCATCAAATAAAATGGCCTACCTCTATTCTGTCAGCAGGGAATCTGCAAGACACATGGTCCAAGCCATGGTTCTGTTTCAACACATTCATTAACTTTCTCTTGTTTAATACTGTTTTAAGGGGTTGGGAGGTTGGGACTTGGGGTTGTTTTTACATTGTTTTGTTTTAATGCTGTAACCCGCCTCAATTGCTGGGCAGAGAGGCGGGCTATAAATAATAATAATAATAATAATTATTATTATTATTATTATTATTATTATTATTATTATTATTATTATTATTATTCAGCATTGGAACTGGGTTATATTCATCTTAAAATGTATTTTAAAACTCCCTCTTTGCAAAGGATCTTCCTGGAAGATCCAGAGCCCTCCATTATGGTGCTGGGCAGCTGTTTGAAACATGTCCCACTGTGCCGGCCAGTACGGCAGTAGTGAGTCAGAATAACATGCCCAGCTATGTGACTGGCACTGAGCACTTCGTTTTGACCTCAGAGCAAGTGATTTGCTGCTTCCACAGCTACACTGGGAGGCACAACAGGACACATGCACCAAGAGCTGTCCAGCATCAGGCCTCAGTTAACAGGAGGTAGTCAGGGCAGCTCCAGGGCTAGGATACTCCTGGCTGCCCCCAGACTATTTTGACCAATGAAGACAGGCCCCTCTTTACTTGTTCAAAGTTTTGGTGGATGGCCTTTTTTAGACAGAGTCATGCTTAAGCCGCATTTTTGTTATTTGTTAATAATGGACTTAATGGTGCTGTGGAAGACATGCTGTGTTTAGGATTACACACACACACACACACACACACATCTATCAAGCCTGACTGGTATTTCTGTACAACCTGGTACAGATACCAGACTTGTTTTGATAACTCCTTTCTCTTCATGATGTTGTTTGTTTCAATATACTTTCAAACAAACTCTGTGGCTGTAGAGGTGTTTTTAATCTGAGATTATGTGGCACACGGATGCACTTAATTCAGCTACTTATGTGACTTCTGTAGACAGTGGGTTGCACATAAGTTTATCTGGGTGTGTCACAACAAAGAAGGTGAAAACTAGTGCAACCAACAAGTGACATTTTGGTTTTGTTTATTTAACTTTTCCATCACAATAAAAATACTTTGCACCTTCATAGTGTTGAGTGTCTTGTGTACATCAAGTGATAACAATGCTAATTAAATCAGTTTCAACTCCGGGTTTTCAAAGACATGTGGAAAATTCAAAGGGTATATGTGCATGAATATTTCTGCAAGGCACTATATATCAAGCCCAGGCTCTTAAATCACCCCACTAAATCCTTCAGAGCTGTCCTGTAGTTCTCTGATCGGCATTCTTCCCTCAGCTTTAGCAGTGCAATCCTAAACATGTCTCAAATGAAAAGTTCCACTGAAATCACCAAGGATTGCTGTCACAGAAGTAGATACAGAATTGCAACCTAAACTTCCCTACTTTAAAGGTAAACTAGCAGCACAGAATGTAATAGACATTCTCTCCGCTTGCACAGAAAAAGGTGGGATATTAAATAAATAAACACCCACTTCTAAACTAGGTTCAAGACGTGTGAGGCAATACAGTTACTCCTTGTAATCAGATATTACACTCACTCTGTGTGTGTGCGTGTATGTGTGTACAAAGATCAGCTTTTTTGTTTCAAACTACAGACCCACAGTTATAAGAATGTCAGAAAGTAATCTTTTAGTCTTTCCTCAATAAGAGGTTATGTGTTGGCTGTAGCAATAAAAGAAATGGAAGTGAGATCTGACAGGTCAAGTTGCATTATTGTATTAGCTTGTCCTCTAGCATGTAAACCCAGGCCTAAAGGTGTTATCTACATTGGCTGCTTAATCTGGGGCCAGTCTGGAGCATTATGCCCCAGAATGACCATTATGGCAAGCACAGAGAAAAGGCTGAATTCAGTCTGACGCTACAGTCATGCGTCTTTGTGCACATCGGCCCCACTGGCTTGTCCCCATTGTTGCCACTGCTTCCTTATGGGCAAAAGCTTCCTGCAAAAGCCTGACTGGCATGCCACTGCCTCTGCTGAGGTCAAAATGGGGCATCCTGTCATGTGTTCAACAAGGAGGGGGGTCACTTTATACCTTCCTTGTTGATTGCAGGGCACCCCCATTCTGACCTCAGAAGCAACAGCACACCAGGCAGGTGCTCCATGTTGGACAACCCTCTGTGTCCTCATTCTACCTTCCTCTATTACTAATGTAAAACATCAATTACCGTATTTTCTGGCGTATAAGACGACCCGCGTATAAGACGACCCCCCATTTTTCCAGTCAAAATATAGAGTTTCAGCACCTCCATCCTCCTTATCCTTATACCCAGCGTATAAGACGACCCCCCCCTTTAACCACAGATTTTGCAGGTTAAAAAGTAGTCTTATACGCAGGAAAATAAGGTACTTTGCAGTTGCTCATTTTATCATTTAAAATATAATTAACTGAAAGCTTTACTTTGAAGAGGAAAATACCCCAAAGCTCTCTATGTGTAATGCTAATTAATTAAGCTACCACATAGGCATTTTTAATATTCTTTTTAAAAAACCAAAGCAAATATGTTTAACAGAAATGTTTTATAGCTGGGCAGGAAGCTCAGATGTTTAAATTACAGAAGCATCAACTTTTTAAAGAGCAAT